CTCATGCATTTTGTGTGTGAATGCACTGTTAATATCATGCACAGATCAGCAGATCATTTAGAAATAATAATTTAGGATAACACCAGCATGTTTTTACAGTTTTCCATTTCAGATAACTTGATGTCTTGGAAGCCTGCTAATGTATGGATCTCAGTAGGTTCTAGAATAGAGTTCACTAGGTGTCGCTCTATTTCCGTCTTTCTCAAATACATCTCTCTCTCTCTCTCTCTCTCTCTCTCTCTCTCTCTCTCTCTCTCTCTCTCTGTCTGTCTCCTATTCTTCACACCCACAAGCAGGGATAATAGCGCTGCGTCTGCAGCTTGGCAAGATGGAGAGTGTGCAGAGGGACAGAGGAAGTGCTGAGAGATCGAGAGAGAGGGAGGGAGAGCAAGTGAGAGCATCTCTAGCGACATGATATTTAGCACAGCCAAAGCTATCAGAGAGAAGAGGTCACAGAACTGGATATGTTAATGAGAAGAGGAGGCCTCGAGCTCCATTTCATGAACTCTTCTGAAAAGACCAGCATATCTCGTCACCAGCATGTGTTGTGTTTTGGATGCTGGTGTCTGGTGTCCTCAAAGTACCCGAAAGCAGCTACAGGTACAACTTTTACACAGTGGAAAACCAAACAAAGGCGAGCCGAGCTGAGTCAAGTTGAGCTGGTACTGTGTAGTGGAAAAACGCCAATACTGGGTAATGACTCCTCACACTTCTCAGCCGCTCCAGCAACGAACACAACCCGGAAAAACTATCGGTGTGGATTTTTGCCGATAACGATAGTTCCACCAATCAACTATCGGTGCCGATTATAATCGGCAAAACCGATGAATCGGTCAATCTCTATTACAATTGATACCATTGATCAGCTCTACCAAACGTGGATGTTTTTCCACTAAGAAACGAACACTGTTATTAAGTTTTGATTGATACTGTGAATCTGCTTGGATGCAATCTGTGAAAAGCACTATATAAATATACTAGACTTGACTTGAACTAATAAGTAAACCTGTAAATGAAAATTTAACACAGAATGTGGCCCTGTGGCACTGTCACGGGACAGAGGTGAGTCGGCTATATATGTGTGTATTTATTTATATTTCCCCTCGCGCTGATTGGGTAGTTTATCTGAATGTGCTTCTCTCGAACTTTGACATCATTAAGTCTATTAAAAGTGGATATCGTATGCCCAAATAAAAAGCATGATTAAAACAAAGGCTATTAATAAAAATAGAACTTGAACTAGATCAGGGGTGTCCCATCCTCCGGTGGGTCACTGTCCTGCAGAGTTTACACAGGTCAACACACCTGCCTGGAAGTTTTTAGTATGCCTAAGACCTATAAAAGCTGGTATCGTTTTATAATATATAGGGTATAGTGTTTAAATTGGGTTGCAGCTAAACTCTACAGGACAGTGGCCCTCCAGGAGCAGAAGTGGACAACCCTGTCCTAGATAGAAACATCATCAACTCCTCTCTATAAACAATTGTGGCAGGAGTTTACCAGACTCAAGTGGAACCTAATAAAAATTACAAAATGGACAACACATAAAAATCTTCATGAACACAGTAAAATACATTGATACAATACATCTATAGTCTCTCCATCATAAAGACATTTTGAAGAATGTTGCATCGGTTTTTGCCGGCACAATGAAAGTCAAAACAACACTGAACCCCATTAATTTTCATTGTACATGAAAAAAAAAAAAAAACTTTTGTGTTCCAAATAAGAAAATAATGTAAAAAGTGAAGTTGAATGGAATGACACTGAAGGTGAGTAAATGATGATATAATTGAAATTTTGGAATGTAACTGTAACAGTTGTGATTTCCAAGGACACCAGTAATATCCGTCAGGTAGTAAAGACAAAAAATAAATGCTTACAGCAACAGACAACAATGTCTTCTATATATCGAATTATACTTTCACCGAACCAATATAAACCAGCTTTGCTGATCTGCGATTTTCTTTATATCAGGACATTTAGCCTAGTGCAGCCAAAGAAACTGGGAAAGAAAAACACATGGCGAGAGCAAAATGGATATAACAGAAAATGCTTGAATAGGAGTGAAGGAGTGAGATGAAAACTGTGGAGGACAGAGAACAAACATAGTGAGAAAGGAGCGCTAATAAACACAGACTCTGATTGACTCAAGTGTTTTTAACGGGATGCTGCCCACGTCCAGTAGCATCACCCAGGCTTTGTTTTCACTCCGTCAAGCCTGCTCTCCTCCGCTCCGCTTCCTGGAGTGTCTCTGTACGCTCTGTTCTGCCTCTCCACCCCAGCGATCATATGAATGATGGGGAGCTCAGAACATGTAACTAGGTTAAAAAAATGGAGGATCAACAAAGGGACAAAATATCTTTAAGACTTTCCCTTTTTTTCCTCTCGTCTGTTCAGGAATGAAACGGGTCATGTGCATGAGAACAGCTGTGTAAATGTGTCAACACAAAGATGTTAGCAGCATATCGTTCTCAAGTCATATAGGTAGCAAGGTGAAGCCACAAAGGATCAAAGTTGTTGATTCAGCACATCCCACAGATACTCAATTGGATTGAGAATTTGAAGGCCAGGGCAAAACCTTCAACTCTTCATCATGTTCCTCAAACCATTCCTGAACAATGAGTGCAGCGTAGCAGAGTGCATTATTCTGCTAAAAGAGTCCAACAGCGAACACCATTGTCATGAAGGGGTGTACCTGGTCTGCAACAGTGTTTAGGTAGGTGGCACATGTAAAATGTATGTCCACATGAATGGCCTGGTTTCCCAGAAGAACATTACCCAGAGGCATTACACTCTTTTGCATCCTTTTGGCATCACTTCCCCAGGTAAACAGCGCACACGTACGCGACCGTCCATATGTCCATATGATGTTAAAAGAACCAGGCGACTTTCTTCCACTGCTTCATGGTCCATTTCAGACGTTTGCATGGCCATTGTGTTTGCTTTTGACGGTAGACAGGGTCATCATAGGCCCTCTGATTGGTCTGCAGCAGAGTGTGATGCACTGTGTGTTGTGACATATTCCTCCCATAACCATCATTATAATTTTATGTGACTTGAGCAACAGTAAATCTTCTTTTGGAAAAGATGGGATAGCCTTCGTTGCCCTTATGCATCGATAAGCCTTGGCTACCCAACACCATGTCACTGGTTTGTGGTTTGTCTGTCCTCAGACCACTGTTGATGGATTCTCACTAGTGCTGACTGGGAGCAACCCACAAGCGTTTCCATTACAATTTGGCCCTTATCAATGTCAGATCTTTATTCCTGCCCATTTCTCCTGCATCCAACATCTAGATTACTAGAAATTATTGTTTGCTTGCCATCTAATCTACCCAGACCTTAATATGTGGCCTTGTTAGGAGATGATCAACAATTTGCTTCACCTTTGACTGCTCATAATGTTTTGGCTCATCAGTGTATACACTGATCAACACACACACACACACACACAGCAAATGTCATCATTTGGGTTTGAAATGACATGAAGGCGAGAAAATTATGACGTGTGTGTAGCCTACTCTCCCTTTAAGGCCACGTTTACACAAAGCCGGGTATTTAGCGAAAAGAATATTTCCCCCCTCTCCATTTTCAAAAATAACATTGTTCACACACCCGCATAAATACACCGTCGAGTGCCATCATATGCCAAACCTATTGGCGGCAGTGTAGGGAGAAGAAGTTTTTAGAAATAATCGTGTGATGGGGGTTTTCGTGTAAACGAGAGGCCAATCCGCAGGGAAATATCTGTGTTTTCCCTTTGTGTAAACGGGGCCTAAATGTGCTGTACCTGACAGATATCACTGGTTTACTGGGAAATCACACCTGCCAATGTGAAAAGGCCAAGCTCTAGCCAATCAGTAACACTAGAGAATCATTTTGCATAAGTTGACACACAGTAGAAGTTTAAAGTGAGTGGTGGTGTAGTAAAATTTACAAAATGGCAGGAAGCACCTTAAAGCATATAAAGCATGAGTTGTAGTTCAAGTTACTGATAGCCTACTCTAAATTATGCATCCCATCTGTGCTATAATAGCCTACATGACTGAAACAATCAAGATAACGAGGTTTAGCTTGTTTGTACAGTTGCTGTTAGTTAGATGCTGTTCATCTTATTCCACAGACGGCCATTTAAAATCACCTGTGTGTTCTACTGAAATTAAAATGAACAAGAAATTAATTTTAAAAATGTATTCTCCACTTCATACTCTCTGGTAAAAGCTAATGTACAACACAAAACATACAGTAGGCTCGCCATGCTTGCTTCTGTGTATTAATGTGAAAAACCCACAGCTTAACCAGCTTATCTATCAGTGCTTAGCTATCTTCATCTGCAAGTATGAGACACTTAATTAGTTTGCTTTATAAGATATTTTAATAAACAAAAAAACGAAAACCTGTCCCTATAATCAAGTTTGTCCTGTAGGCCAATTGTGAATATAACCAGTCTCTCGTCGTATTTTATTACTTAAATAAAGTGTATTTTTATGGGTCTCACTCTTAGTCATAGTGAATTCATACCAACCTATTTCTAAACAACTCTTTAATGTCTGTCCACCTTGAAGCCTCGATATCTTACCTATTCTCGAGTCTGCACAGCTTCACCTCTTCAATCTCTTACAAATCACGAATCACTCAGAGACTCTTGAATCGTTAGATTCATTAAATCTTAAAGCAGAAGAGTCGGTACTTGATGTACGCAGGGCTTGATATTTTCATTTCCAAATGCATAAATTAATACAAGAAGTTCTGGAGTTTTCTATCCCCCGTTAATTATATATTTTTGTTTTCCCTTGCGTTTGTCAATGTTACTTTAAGTGTTAGCCCCATCTAGTGGCTAAAGGCAAAATGTATAGCTCATTTAGCACTAATGGAAATGCAGTTAGACTACAGCGTCACCCACAGGCCACAGCAGGGGGTACATGTTTAAAATATAAACCTCCAGTCTCTGCCAGTTCTGCAAGATGTTATAATTAATGAGTCATTAAACAACAAAAGTAATAAAAGTTTAGATTTTAATAATGCTTCTTGTTATAAATACATGGTTATCTTGAACACTTAATAAATAAAGCACCCTCTGTTTCAGATCACTTTACAGATGTCTATAAATACAATGCATTACAACAACAGTCTTTCAAAATGTACTGGGGAAAAAAATCTGTTACATCTCTTGTTTTTCTGAGCGCAATAAAAGGGGTTTGATTGTGTTTTCATGCGTTCTGGGAACAGACAGCGCTTTTCACTGAGGTCTGATCCTTCTTCCTTCTAAGAAACAAATCGTTAGCTGTTAAAAACAGATCCAAGATCAGCTTAAAAAAGCAGTTCTCAATAGAATCTTTTTGATGCAAGTGCAGTCCTTTCCGCCCCTGTGGTGTTTTTAATGAACATAATTAACCTTTATAATCATTTTAAATGGCAAAGACTGATAATGATCAGTGTTTGTATCAGACTTCATATATGGTCAGCATTATGAATCTTTTCAGTGCGAGGAACTTAAAAGTATCAGGGTACAGAAAGGTACTATTAGCATTTGGTCAACAGGTTCTGAATGTCCATGTTGCATTTGTATTACTTAATAAACATAAGCAGCTCCAGAAACTGCCTTATTAATATAGTCATTGTGAAATACGTATTTGAAAGGCCAAAATTGATCTGGGATCAAAAGTCACTACACATAATAAACAGCATCTGTTCTGATCAATGTCAGTGCATAGCATTGGACTGGATTTAATAAGCAGTTCTAAAGGTGTGTTATTTGGTAATTATTAAAGGGAAGGTTCACACACTCTCTGAGCGCATCATAATCTTCTTTAAGCTTTCCGTATGGCGTGTTTGCCTTTCTGAAGTTGGGAGACGTAGATTTTGGTTTTGGTGCCATCTGTGCGCTTGAACCAGACCTCTCCTGCGCTGATCCCCGTTATTACGACCCTAAGAGAAACGCACACAAAAACAGGGAGATTTCAATTGAAATGTTTTTGCAAACAAAGCCAAAGCGAAGACAGATGCAGTCTCGAGTCTCATGCTCTACTGACTGTGCTGGGCTGTTGTCATTGACTTCTAGCACAACGCTGCTGCCTTTGGAGAATCTCTCTCCATCATAGAAGAGAGCCCCATCTTCACATCGCACGGACACCTGCCTGTCTGAGAGACAAACAGACACGCTCACCATCATCTTCAACATGTTACGCCTTAATAGCTCAGAATGCTCTAACCCTCCATTGTTGAGACGTTTTATTACTTTATAGGGCTGCTGTCATTAAATTGGTTTATATGTAACATGATAAAGTAATAATATATGTTAGGAATATACTTAAGTGTGAACAAAATGTCATGTTTTCTGACACTTCACTGCATTGTAATTAAAATGAAATGACATTGTTGCATATATATAATTTATATTATAAATTATATAATTTAATTAATGTTATAATGTTAAGTATAATGTTGCATTTATATAATTTATATATTCTCGATGGCTAATACAATTCATAATTTTCTCACACAACTATAAAGTCTCAGAACTACATTCCAACAGGCAAAAACCTCAAACTGTCACGTCAAAATCAAATCTTTTTGTCAAAAACATATTCTCTTTCGTCAAAATCAAATGTTGGCCTCAGATGACACACAGAACAAATTCACAGAGTACTTTCCAGATCAATTCATAACACTGTAACAGAACCTCGTATTGGGATTCAGGACTAATTTTGCAGCTCAATGTCTATAACAGTATTCAACATAAATGATACAGTAAAATACAACAATGAGCTTTACTTTAACTTAGGAAAATGACAGTTATAAAAATAAATAATGAAAAATGACCGCCACTTGAATCAGTTAGGGTGTGTTAACAATTTAGAAAAACTGTACATATGCAATTAGCTGAATTTTAATTACATCTTCATGTCATTTCATAATTACTATGTCTGAAATATGGTTATACCATGGTCTGGGTGAATACTCGATTCTGATTGGCTGCAGGGTGTCCGTTAAAAAGTGATAGAGGACACCTAGTAAAGTAGTTCTGGTGAAACTGTCTGTTTACCATTCGAAATGAATAAATAAATGCGCTGCCCACAACAGCTGTGAGTAACCATAGCAACAGGCAGTCAAAGTATCCGTTAACAATTTGCTCTATTAAAACAAACATCTAACGTTAGTTAGATATTCCATAGCCTACTAATACAACAATGAGCGACTTCGTTATTTCTTTTAACATTTATGGAGAATATGACAACTTTGACGACTGGGATGCTGCTGAAGAAAGAAAAAATGTAAATAAAATGGAGAAACGTCGCAAAGAAAATTACACCGCTGCTGCTCTGAATGAGACCCTGCGGGAGTTTTTACGCAGCAGTCCAGACAACCAAGGCAGGAGGAGAGTACAGCGTTTCAAGCCTAAGAAGCCTGTTTGATTAATTGTTTTATGTGTAATTAAAAATAAATAAATAACTATGCCTACCTTTGTGTTTCATAAAAAAAAAAAAAAAAATGCATGTTTGAACCTGAAGGGTTCTACAAGCTGAGTGGACTATAAATATCTCCGGTTGCTAAATAAACCAGGCGAGTTATTATTTGTAAAAACTTGATTTAGCCTAATTAAAATATAAACTAGCAGCTAATGTTTTAAAAATGTTTTATTTGGCAAGTGACCATGGTATAAGCGGATTAATGCCCTTCGAGGTGTCCATTGTCAGGTTTTAATGGACTTCGGCGGAGGCAACGGTTCACGCCTCGCCGTCGTCCATTAAAACCTGACAATGGACACCTCGTCGGGCATTAACCCTTACTTAAAGTATGCTGCTAAATGTACTGACAAGCATTTACGGTGACCTAAAATGCCATTTCTACTGAAACTTGTTTCATGTATTTAAACAGGCCTATTTGTAATTACAGATTTGTAATGATGAAGTTGTAATTCAGTACATTTACAATATACTGAATTATATATAGTGTTTGAACACTACAGTTAAAATTATCAGTATAAATCAAATCAATCGCTTTAGTAGGTTAGTCAGCATCACAATAAGTGAATTTCTTTAAAGAATGGCAAAAGATTATTGAAACAATGTCTTCGATAATTATTGAAACACACTTTTTAACGGTGTGCTTTACAGTGTGTTAGGAAAGTGTACTCTCTTTAAGTAAACTTAACTGGTCTTTTAATTAATTAATATTATATTGTCTAATATTATATTAAGTACATATATTTACTTTTCGAATTTGAAGTACACTACAACTGCCCCAGGCAACAACATTGTGCCGGCCCAGATCTGGTACGGGTGGAATCCACATATACCAGATGTGGCCCGGATCTGGCCGGACATTATATTGCTGTCTGGGCCACATTCAATACAATTAAGCACACTTTTTCACAAAGGCAGCCTTATTAACAGTGGTGTATTTGGTTGTAATTTATGCCTATTATGCCAACAAACACAGCAAAGTAATGGAGGGATGAAAGTGAGAGCAAGAGTGAGGTGTGGGGAGAGATAAAAAGACAAAATGAGAGATGGAGCGGAATCAAATGTTACACGTCATTTTTCTTCCACAAAAATAGAGCAGGACTGTGACATTAAAACCGAAGTACTTTGAGTCGATCAGTCTGGAGTGACAGAACAAGGGAAATGGCACTATAAATCAAATGTCAGAATCTCACTTAATCAGAGGCCAGACAGATAGAGCTTGTGAGCGAGGGTCAGGGCTAAAAAAAAAAACTGGGACGGCAATGGAGAACATGCTTAAGCCTTTGGCGCCATTTAATCTAGAGACAGACAGTAACACCCTGAGTGTGTGAGTATCGCGCAGTATCCGTTATTTGAAAACACACAGCAACACACTTTTTAAAGTCCTCAAAAGTCCAATTTTGCACTATAAAATCTATTCTGAGCCTGTCGGAAAAAAGAAATCATTGGTTACATATATTTAGCCTAAGTCAAGGACCCTGATGGTCAGCGCATGTGATTTCCTTCAATAAATATACAATGAGTTCATTCTTGGAGGCAGTCAGTTTTGTCAAATTTTAATGAAGTTCACCTGACTAACATGAGGTCATTGACCTCCCAGTGTAGCTGCCAGAGAAAGACAGAGACCAACAGGGAAGCTTGAATGAAGTACTTAAATGAGCCCAGCCCAGTCGCATTTAATAATAGACTTACTGTCTGCTTTCTTTTTCAGAGGTATCAGTGCCGCTTTTGCCTGAAAGACAGAAAGATAAAAGTCACGATCCGTCGCATACAGTAGCTTCACTGTGAATGAAGGGCTGATCACACAACATGAATACCTTCTTGATGGCTGTCCAGTCCTCCAGTATATCAATGTCTCTTAGCATATACACTATGTATGGCCCTAAACAAAAACAGACAGACATGTTGAGCGAGCAGGAGAGGAAGAAGGACAACTTCTTTAAACAGAGTTTGGATAAAAGGTGTTGCCTGATGTTTAATGATCTAGCTTGGTGATTTTTGAATGACTATACCAGGATTCTAAACTAGCTTGGCACATTTTCAATTAGCTTCTTAAGAAAGACCATGCTGGTTGAGCAAAACTAGCATAAATCAGCTTGGACCAATATGGGAAGTCTCATGAGGTCTAGTCTCAATTTCCTTCTCAGAAAAGGTCCAAACAATAAGACATGCTGTATGAATGTTAAGGTCGTTATTTAATGAAATGAAATAAGGCATGTGTGATTCCTGTATAATCACACTATCTGATCTGGACTACAAACTGTTAATTGGTGGCCTTTGGTGGATTGTACAAATGTAGTGTAAGACCTTTTGGATAAAAGTGTCGGATAAATCGCTAATTAGTAACTGTTGGTACTGGAACAGGATTTAATAAGTAAGGCAAGTGGTGACCGAACAAGTGAAGAAGAGATCTGAATCCAAAGAGAACACCTCATTACCTGACACAAGAGCCGCCTTCTTTTTCCTGTCTGGCCGAATCAGGTGACGACTTCTCTTACACTTCTTTATCTTCTCGTCATCATTCCACCATTCTGATTGATAAAGACAAAGTATGTGTGTTTAAGGATCTGGTGAGTATTTGTATGCGTTTCTAACAACTTGTAGCAATTCATGGAGGACAAATATGCTTAAAAATGACAAAACATCCTCTTGAAAAAGTCTTTCATAAATAAAGTGAATAATGTTTTTGTTATTATAAATTAAGTAATATTTTATATGTATCTAATTTTTATAAATAAAAATATACAACAATAATTTGTTTTAATTTAGGGACACTGTTTACTGTTTAGAGATTTGCATGAACTTGAGAGACTGTGTGACCCGAACAATCGCTTCTCCTCTCAGTGTTTAATGGTGACACTATAGTTGGCTTTACTGTATGATATTTGATGTGCACATTTCAACATGACCAAAACTGATTTTTTTTTTTTTTAAAGAGTAAAAGTAAAAGGACTTTTAGTATCACACAAAGGAAGATATTTGGAAGAATGTTTTAATCAAACAGATCTCATTCCCCATTGACTACGTCAATGGGGAATGAGATCTGTTTGATTAAAACATTCTTCCAAATATCTTCCTTTGTGTTCAGCAGAACAAATAAACACATAGAGTTTTGGAACAACATGAGGGTGAGTAAATACTGACAGAATTTTCATTTTTGGGTGAACTAACCCTTTAAGAGTTTCTTCTTTTAGCCTTAAGATGTTTTGTGAATACGGCCCGAGATTTTAGTCAGGTAACACACCTGTCGTACGCTTAGGAATTGGGATGCTACATCCTTGTTCAGATAGCCAGGTAAATGTGTGTGCGTGTGTGTGTGTACCTGAACTCTGTTTGTCATCCTCCAGTCTGCGGATCTTCTCCATCAGTTCTGTTTTCATGGCATCAAGCAAGAGTGTCCTCTCACTCTAGAGAAATGAGCATCTCATTACATATACACACATTGACTTGATACGATTCACGCACTGTCAACATACAAACAAACAAGCACAACTGTTTTGGCAGAGACGTGCACGTATTTATTTGCAGCAGTGTTTTTTCACTGTGGTGTGTTATGTGTGATACTGCATCTAGACTATGATAAATGTCGCGTGTGCATGTTTGTTTGTGTATGAATCTATTATGGCATGTAAGTCTGTTGAATCATGAAATGACCTGCAGTAATATTCTATGTGCATGAAAATTAAGTACCATGGTACCCCACAATAAGCTTTTTGAGTCACAGATATTAGGTGTCTTTTGAAAATAGAATAGAAATAGAAATTAATTAGAGCTCTAATTACAAGCAGGTATTTCTAATAAAGTAGAGGGTTACACTTTATTTTAAGGTGTCATTGTTACAGTTTAATTATATATTTAAGTGCTGAGTAATAATAATTAACAACGTGTACTTACTAAAGAGTTATTAGGTTTTGGTTGAGGGTTAGTTGTATGTAATTAAATTACTATGGTAAGTACACGTAACATACAGTATGTAACAATGGCACTGTAAAACCATGATAATTTTCCACCATTGACAACAGTGTTTACTAATTACTAAGTAATTAGTTACTGCAATTTAATTACTTTTCCCTTGAAAATGTAAAGTAAGGGATTACTCTTCATTTATCTGTAATTAAATTACAGTTACTTCTAATGTAATTGATGTAAATACTGTGTATAGATCAAGCCGATCTCACAGCGATTCGTATGCATTTTATGAGGTGTCTAAATTGTACGACCACACCAGTACAAATTCGTATGAATTATTGTAAAATATGTATGAAAAAAAGTGTGAAATGTCATGAGATCAGACATAAAACAATAGTGGGTTTAACATCAAAATGTATTGTCTGATGTTAAAAAGTGTGTTTTTATGATGTAACCTTCTCCACCTTGGTCAGTTTAAGGATAATTCATGCAATTTTCTAGTATTTATTTGAAAGAATTAAAACAGATTCATGTCCTTGTATTATTCAGCTGGTTGAGATTGATATGGGATTTTGAAAGTAATTAGTAATTAAATACTTTTTAGAGAGAGTAATCTAATTACACCGTTGAAGAGGTAATTAGCAACTAATAATTAATTACTTTTTTAGAGTAACTTACCCAACACTGATTGACAACTTAAAGCTGTTATTGATGTTTGCAGCGCAATATTTGACCAGAAGGGCAAATTTTTTATTAATTTTTTGGGGTTTGATTACTTCAAAACCTGCAATGTATCCCTGTAATCGTTAATGATAAATAGAATGTAACGATTCATTAGTGAAGCTATTTTATTAATAAAAGTCACGGGACAGCATTGATAAGTCTCTGTGCTCCTGAATATTTCTGTGTGCGCGCAGCGCAAACTTCGATCTCTGTGTGTGAGTGACGTCTGTGTGTGTGTGTGCGCGCGCTTCAATGAAAGCAGCACATTAATATAGAATGGTGATTGAACTGACTTGGAACTACCTGTGCATTAAACAGCTTTATTGCACTCTTTTCAGCCAATCAGCATAGAGTATTCAGACAGATCATGGTATAAAGACACTTAATATAAAGTTAGACTGCTATTTGTGAACAATGTCTAGATATGTGGGTCCACTTTACCTCTAAATGTTGTTTTGCCCCCTGTACTTCACATTCATGTTTGTGTTTGACCACTTGCAGACATAGTTCTCTGTACACACCTAGATGGGGTGAAAGGGAGAACAGTGAATAAACAAGTAACAGTTGATCCAAGGCCTGCGGTTAAGATGAAAGAGAGACATCATAAATAGAGGTCAACCAATATCGGATTTTGCCAATACCGATAACTAAGTCGGTCAGTACCTGCCGACAGCCGATTAATGAACCGATAAAATAGTTTTTTAAGTTTTAAGTTTTTTAAAATATTACTCAGAATCAAAACATAACACTCAAAGTAAAATAGTGTATTGACTGATGCATGAAAATGTATTGGAACTTAGCTTGCATTGACATCGTTGTATGAGAGAACTGAACTGAGCTGGACAATGACATCACGGGTTTCTCCACAGCGACTATATATATAAATGAACTATATTAATAACTTTTTTACAACAAAAATGATTCATCACTGATCTTACGTAAGCTGGACTGTGACGTTATTTTGTTCTGCAAACAAACTTTGTTGCAGTATTTTCCTGTTATCTCTGTAAATCTGCTTTGAAACAATCTATTTTGTAAAACGCCCTATATGAATAAAGGTGACTTGACTTAACTAAAACATGGTCAAATGTGTGTGTCTTGTCTGCTTGCCTTAGCTTGATTCAAAGCGGTAAGCTTAATTCCTTAATTAATATTTTTTATTCCAGTGGTTCTGGTGGATTTCCGCGGGAGATTCAAACATGTATTTGAGTCATTACGTCACATCTGTACACATAAAGAAGGAGTATCGGCTAGTCGGCTATATTGATGCTGGAGGTGGAGATTTATAGTCTTTTCTCACAGCACTTGATATAATTAAACGTATTTATTTGATGGCGGATCCAGAAAGTTTCAAATGACAATCACCAGTGATTCACCTGCTGTAAAATGCAAAAGACTTTGTTGGGACTTAGGAACGGAAAAAAGAGACTGCAACAGGCCCATGCGAAAACAATGATAATTATCGGAAGAACATTACATGTAGTCATGCAATGCTGACGTTGTTCACATTAACAATTTCAAAACAAAGTATAATTTTTGCACGGTTTTGCGTGATAATAAGCAATTTTTAGATTTAATCAGCGCGATTTACTGCAATGTCAGAACCAGAACAAGTGGATGTTACTTCAGATGACATTTCCCAGTGAAAATTATTATGTTGGTCATACTTCCAAAAAGAATAATCTGTGATTCTGAATGCCAGCAGAGAATGATGCCGGTATCGACAACGGCGCGGTGACTGACAGCCGCACACTCTCCTAAAACATTGTGTTCATCCACACTGTGAAGTGTCAAATTACAACTCAGGTAAAGTTGATAATTCCACGAATGACTGCAATTACAGATTTTGAACAGAGATTGGGACAAAGAGGAAAAACTTCAGACTGCAGCTTTGAGAAACCACTTAGCTGTATGGGTTAACATTACATATTAAACTGTGGTTGGTTTTGACATTGACAGTTGTCATAAACATGCATAAAACATCCTTCATATTCATGACATGTGTCATGTCATGATTATGAAGGTGTCATGTCAGTCTTATGCACACCCCTTCAAGTAAAGTTTTACCCAATATAAGACCAAGCCTGGTTCCAGAATTAAATCACAGAGGATGATTCTAATAAAGCGCAGGTGTAGCGTGTAAACAGCCGTTTAAATAGTAGGCACCCTTACATGTTAACCTAGATAAATGTGGGCTATTATTAGGAGCATGTTATTAGGAGCATAGTGTTTGTGTAGAGTGTAGAAGCCGAAGCATAGTGCGCTTACTGAATGACATGGGCCCTGTCCCAAATGGCACCCTAAACACTCGAGGTCTTCCTACTAGTCTGCACTATCGTGACGTAACGGCACTTTGACTGACGGGTAGAAGTCTGCTGTGGAGTTTGATTCAGTGCAGGCTCAGCAAAAGTGCGCATCGAGGTGCACATTTCGACCGAACACTCGTGAGCACGCTTCTGAAACCTAAAATGACAAATGGGACACATGGACTTAACCCTTTCAGACATAAGTTTAAAATATTCAAACTGATCGTGAGTTTTAATTTAATGTTTCCATAGTGACGCGTCATTGCTTGTCAGTGACACAGCGCTGAATGAATGATGATCTGCTATTCTCAAATGTATTAGATACAGCATGAAACACTGATATTCCGATCAAATATGTGCAAGTGTATGAGTTTTGTTGTTTAAACACCTTTATAACGATTGTGTTAGTTGAGCTGTATGTGTGATGGGCTACGCCATGTTAGTTTACAACACGTCAATTCCTCAACATCTCACGAAACACATGAAAGTAAGTGGCCGGTGAACTGGGAAAAGAATAGGGTAAAATGTAAAGCTACTTGCGTAATGTGTATCTGATATGAATAAAACATTTATAAAAAGGATTATTATTTCCGCTTCCATAGAAATAGACATTTTTGCTACTTATGTGTATTTAAATGTCTGAAATCTAAAATAAACATGTGGTTGAAAACACTGAATAGTTGTGATATATGACAGCACTGAGTGCGTCTGTGTCTCAAGCAGATTTGAATTTAGCAGTTGATCACATGATGCACTGACCGTTCTAATCACACCGGTGGGATCGAATGCTCCAGGGATCAGCCAAGACTGATCACACCGGGGTGATCGTACGTGCAAAGGGTTAACGGACACGTGCCATTGTAAGTCTACAAGACCGAAAGTGCTTATGTAGGGAGCATTTGGGACAGGCCCACAGGGCCATAACTAATTCCATTGTAAAATAATGTAAAATAAAGAAAACAAACATTTCTGCATCTCGATCTCCGTGAACTGGAGCATAGCCTAAAAATAAATTGAAACTAGTGTAGTGTACATTTGTCTGTACACTTGCGTCACATAAATGAAAAATATAACTATAAGGGGCTTGAAATGTCTACATTTAAACTAAACAGTTTAAATTGAAAACAAATATTCTCCGATTATGTAATTAGTTTGAAACGTGCGCATCTACTTACGCGGAGATGCAACTTAGCTGGTTACAAATTAATAAACGCCCAAGCTGGATATAAGCTAATTAAAATAGACCCTAACAATCATGACATTTAAAGGTTGTGTAGGTAGTAGGGGTGGCACGGTACATGAAAAACACCCGAACCGTTCGGTTCACTTGTCTCGGTTCAGAGCGTGTGTGCGTCTCACGGTTCGACGCATGCGCCTCGTGCCCGTATGTGACGTGTGTTTTCTTTCGCGCGACATAATAAGCTTGTTCGACTTGGACCGGCGCTGCACAGAGCGACCGGTGAATAACATCAAACTAGCCCGAGAGCGACGGCTCCGTCACTCACTTTTGCGGTATTTGATGTCATTACCGATCGCTCTGTGCAGCGCCGGTTCAAGTTAGTAAACAAGCCAGTAAAAGTGGAGTATGGAGCGCGGTCACGGCACGCGGAGAAATGGGCAAGTGGGAGAGATGAGGGAGTTGGAGGATGCGCCAGCGTCGTATAAGTCTATGCTATAAGTCCGGTGTGTGGGAACATTTTGGATTTCATGTTATGATATTTTTAAATAACGCTACAGTGGCACTTTATGTTTAGATAAGAGCTTCAGTCATACGTTTCCAAATCCTGCACTTTAATTTTAAGTGGGACTCTCTGGGAATAGAAGCATTGTTGATACTGTCTTTTGTGTTGAGGTTGAACTTATGTTTCACTTTATGTTTATGGCCTTTGCTATCGCTATAGCCTAACTAATTATAGGCAATGAGGTTTCATGTATATTGACTTATTCATAAAAGACAGTGTTTTAATAGTTCCTCTTTTTTTCTTTTAAAAGATAGAATTTTTGTAAGAGCTACAAAAGTTGGCAGTTGATAAATGCAAGTTTATTTCTTGTGTAAATAAGATTTGTGTGATAAAAATGCACAAGTTCTTGTAGATATAGTGTGATACACATTCTCCTTTTTTTTTGCCAAATAAACGAAAAGCATGTCAATGTCTTCTCTCTTGCTGTATCAAAATCTCACCTATAGCTTTCCTCTGAGATAGTCCCAAAATGTGCTTAAAGTCAGAGAGTCAAATTCAGTTTGTGCATGATTGCATGAATATCATTTTTTTTATACTGTATCCTAAAGTGTGGATAATTAAGCTATAGATCACATGCTGAAGTACATTTCTGGAGTGTTAAAAATTAAAAGAAAAAAATAACAAGAACCGTACAGAACCGAAAACCGTGACCCTAAAACCGTGATACAAACCGAACCGTCGGTTTCGTGAACCGTGCCACCCCTAGTAGGTAGTAATTTTATAAAAAAAAAAAAAAAAACTTTTTTTTTTAAACTTTCTATGTATATGTATCAATGCATAATTAAAATGTAAGTACTCTGAAAAAGTAAGTATAAAAATCGGGTGTCTGTAGACCTCTCACAACTGTTTTAAAGACAGCTCATTATTTCCATTCACTTCACACCCTCCCTTCTGGGTTCCTTCTAAAGCCACGCCCCCAAAACACATGAACTCTGACAGCTGAGCTGAAGACGCATTATTTACCTGAGACGAGCGGAGAGGAAAGAGCTCAGTGCATGTAGTGACATCATGTCAGAATCACATGTAATAAAAAATCTAACTTTATAATTATGAAGATAAACAAATAAGATGTATTTTAGTACTCACTATCAAGCTATTGGTAAAGTTTTAAATATATATTTATTGATTCGATAACGAGCTAGTCATCTATAGCCTAAGGCAAAGCTAAAAACAAGTTGCATGATACACGTTTTTCCATTGCCATCATTTACACTGTGATGGAGATGTATTTTGTGTAAGATTCATAACATATATGGTGTTCGGCATGTAAGAGTTTCCACGACGAAAGCATTGTTGACTCTGATGAGGACAGTGGGGTTAATAGCATTTATGAGTCTTCCCCTACCATACTAGGAAAAAAATATCGCTCCCCAGATGTAGATCTACATTTTGCTTCGTTTCGCTCGGACATTTAACAGTGTGTACATACACGCATACACGCAGATAGCTCAAAATGTGTATAGATAACACACCACTTGACTTGAAAGTAGCGTGTATGTTTACGCAAAAGTCATGTTGTCATGTTGACACTCCAGAGACAAGTAGCCTACCGCATCGTCAGCACGAGGACAGATCCGTGGTCGAGGGCGAAGCAGATTGGGTCTTGCAAGAGGCCGTGCAACTAGTGTCCGAGGAAGTAGAGGCCGAGTACGGGGTGGTCGAAGTGCAGGGCAAGGAGCACTTCTTGGAAAAGAGGACCTGCGTCTAGTTTTGCATTTTCAAGCTCAAACAAGGGCATGTGAACAGGTATGATCTGGATACGCGAAAGTGGGCAGGTCCTGTGTGGCAAAAGGGGGGTTGCCATGGTTGCGAGAGAGTGACAGTTGCCTGGGCCAATCCGTTGTTCCGTCCCGGTTTTAAATAATGAGCTGCGTTTAGTGCAGATTAAACGATCTAGAGTCACTCGATTTTTATACTCTTTTTATCAGAGTACTTACATTTTAATTATGCATTGATATATATAGAAAGTTTAAACAAATTTGGAAAAAAGTTTTTTTTTTTATAAAATTACTACCTACACAACCTTTAAACATTTATTCTGGATTTGTCACATTATTTTTATCACTTGATAATGTCCTCGCAGCCTTGTCGACAAACATACTGCTGTTCTCTACTAATGCAGCATCTAGTCAACAATTTGATTATTTTTAAATACGACAACATGACCTGTAGTGTACACAAATCATAATTCACATCAGCATTTGATTCCAATCCGTTTCAAGCCAAAACACAACGAGCATTGATTCGTTTTTTGATTTTTTTATGTATTTTAAAATGACAGCGGAGCCTTTCAGCCGCTCGCGCAATGAAACTATCGTTGTGGATTATTGCCGATAACGATAGTCCAGAAATCAGCTACCTATCAATCGGCAAGACCAATAAATCGGTGGACCTCTAATCATAAGCCAGATATGTGTGTCACCTGCCACTTGTGTCCTCTGTTGTAGGTTCTGCTGCAGTGTTGCCAGAGGCTCTTTGTACTCTCCTGCCTTTCCTGTCAACACCTCATCCAGCTTAATTTTAACCTGGTGCAGACGTTCTTGGAAAAGCCTGAAATCGATGAAAAAGTAATCTACAGAGCTCCAGAATTTGGTTGTAGCCACAATGTAGAGTCAATGTTCTTCAAACAATACAATTAGTTTGAACAATACAATACAATACAGAAAATGGATTTTTATTGGTAGGCTTCCTCCTAAGCCCATCCATCCCAGATGATGGCCCTGTTTCTTTTGGACTAAAAAAAGAAATGCCACCTAGCCCCAACCTATAAGAAAGAAGTATTCTTACTTGTCTTTTAACTCCAGGAATTGTTTTTCTAGGTCAGACATTTCATCCAGGCACTGTGATCGTCTTCTCTCACAATCTTCATCATCCATTTCTGAAAGAGAGATCCAATCCAGGTCATTCTCTTTTCCTTTCGAATCCAGTCAGACTTTACTAAACTGCATTTTATATATCACTATATGATCAATTTTGGCTTGCAGTTCAGGGATTTGAAAATGAATTGTCATGCACAAATTAAAAGAACATTTAAAAATGCATAAACCTCAGTTAATGGCCGTAAAAATAAGGTTTAATTCTCTTCATGCAAAATATAATTTCATTTTGTGGTGAAATATCACTCTCCCAATGCAAATTTTTCAGCAGCTACAAAAATACACTGAGAAAAGTATAAATCATTGAATCTGATATAAAGAGACCTGAACTCTCTTCCTCTTCTTCCTCTTCCTCCTCTCCGTCACTGTCCTCCAGGTCGCTGTCCCGATCCTCTCCACTCTCCTCCATCATTTCCTCTGCCTCTCCTCCATCTCTCTCTCGCTCCTCCTCCGCCTCACCGTTAGTTTGAGGAAGCTCAGAGTCAGCCTCCGTCTCCATCTCCTCCTCTGGGTCTCTGGAAGCGGGCTGAGCTGGCATGACTGCTTATAGCACTGTATTAAACGGTGTAATAACAACGGTCGGATCTCATGGAGTACAACATATGGTGTCTGATGCAAGGAATAAACAACCCACACTATTTAATACAATAGAAAATTACATAAATTATGGAAATACATTAATTAAATGAATATAAATAAATAATATTTAATTATAAATTTTGGAAAGAAGTATCCAAAATTTTTGAAAGAAGTATCTTATGTTATACTCACCAAGGCTGCATTTATTTAATCAAAATTACAGGAAAATGTGTAATAGTGTGGCATATTATTACAAGAGAAATTAATACTTTTATTCATTACGGATGCATTAAATTGATCAAAAGTGACAATGAAGACATTTATAATGTTATGTTAAGACAATTCTATTAAATAAATCTTTTAATGAATACATTTAATAAATGCAAGTAAATGCTGTTTGTTGAACTTTCTGTTTATCAACGAATAAAAAAAAATTATGTATCACTATTTCCATAAAAATGTTAAGCAGCAACTGATTTCAACATTGATAATAGTGATGAGAAGAAATGCTACCTGTGTAGATAAGCATCTGAGGGATCACGTGACAATGACGCTGGAAAAATATAGCATTGTTGCATTTTAAAATATATATTTTAGAAAGAGAAAACAGTTATTTTAATTTGTAACGAATTACAGTTGTTTCCTGTCTTTTATAGTACATAAATGCGGCCTAGGTGAGCATAAGAGACTTCTTTCACAAACATAAAATTGTAATCTTTCCAAACAATTGCCTGATGTGTATGTCAAGACAAATGATCAAACTAAAGACCTCCAGAGGACACTGGCAGCTAAAAGAACTTACCCAGAGACGGCAGGAGACATTTAACACCCTATTAACCACTTTATGTTAAATTAGAAAGAGGAAATTTCTGACATAGTTCGTAGGGTGATGAATTATCACTTTTTTTCTTGAGTGGGATTTAAGCGATTACGAGCGCGTTCACAGTCACGGCGTGTACGTTATCATGTCCATCCTCTAAAGGCCGCACAGCACTGACTTTACATTACAAGCTCATTACTCATTCTCCACATCTACAGCCCAGATATTATCATCTCTGAGATACATTAATAGTTACAGTCTCGTGCTGTTCACATATAATTGTGGATTTAAGTTAGTCATAGAAACTCGTTTTCCAATTGAACAACTCCGCAGTTCATTCAGAGACATCAAGTGTCCAGTATAACGCGGTACAGAGTTGCTAATGCGCGAGAGTGAACTATTAAACCCCTTTTATGTTATCAGCCTATTAAACGTCTCAATTACGATGTAGTAATTGATCACCTTACTTCGTAACGTTGTATTGGATCTCTTGATCGCTCCATGAATGTTCTCCGCAGAGATGAACCGATGTAAGACACGGGATAGCAATACAGAACGATCTTAGAAACAAGCTCTAAGTGCATAAACCACAGTAAAACAGCTTACCTTCTTGTCGATTATTGTTTAAGTCATGAAAAATATGACATATTGTCGAGATAATTTGCATATCAGGGCAAGTTGACATCGGACAAGTCTACTTCCTCAGCGATTAGACGTTTGTAACACACTACCGCTTTGAGGTGCTAGCCAATCAATGCAAACCTCGCTACTTCTAAGAACCAATAGAAGCTCGGAGTTGAAGAAGCGATGTCTCGTCCGTTTGAGTACGGTGATCAAACAGACCAATGGCACTTCGAGCTGCTTAACTTTCTACCAACTGACAAGTTTTCTCTAAAAGACTTGCTTGAAATATTATGGATGAGCAGAAGAGACGCATGTTTTACTACAATGCTTATTCTTGAAACAGGCACACACAAAAAAAAAATTATTTACCATATTTTTATTAAAGTTGCATAAAAGTGTAACAAAATTGGGCAAAAAACAACAGTTTAGTATTGCTACAAGATACTTTCTCAAAATATGACTTTGATCACAACAGCTTACATTTTTTTCTAATTCAAATCATTGAGTCCAGTTGATTCTTTCAGTTTGCTGTCCAATTGGACACAGAAAAGAGAAATGAACAGCACTACAAAGTCCACATAATGATAAAAAACGATGATTTGACTTTGTGCTAATAGATGTTAATGCTTCTAAAAAAATGCTCTTTATATAGTTAACTTCCTTTCCTAAAAAACAGAATTACTGAAAGTACACGAACCTTTTTATCCTAAAACTTCAAAAAGATTTTCACTTTTGCATTTTTCTTTTTCATTTATATTCCTCAAACATGATTAAATTCATTTGGTTGTCATAACATAAATTTAACCTAAGGCAACATCTGAAAGTAGGAAGAGTGACTCGTGTAAAATGAAATGCAGAGGAGCCAGCGAAAAAAAAGAAAATGAAAATGGGGGGGGCTCAAAGAAAAACAATAAGTGGGCACAAAAGGGGAGAAAACAGTTAAACAGTTGCCATTGTACCTGATTTTATGTGCTACTTAATAGAGTGGGATGCGACGTGAAGGAGCTTCAGTGTATGATTAATATGTTAATATGTGATGGGAAAAGCTTGCCTAAAACATCTGCCAGAAATGTTGGGACTGGTGGATTTCAAGCGCACTGAGTGAGACTATTAGCCCTCTTAATATAATATTTGATTGGCTGAGACAAAAAAAAAGCAGATGGCTTGCTGGTAGAGATGATTTAGGAATGCCATGTGAGAGGATTCATTCTAAACGTACGCTTGGCAGTGACCATGATGCACTGCAGCTCGACTAGCCTGCTCTCATCCAATCAGTTTCTGGAAGAGTCAGTGTGCACATCTGTGGATGTGTGTGAGGCCCAAGAGCCACAGCTGTGGTTGTGTGTGGTCATTTCTCCAGATTCCCGAGGGTGGTGATGCCCATGAATTTTAGTGTGTGTGTGTGTGTGTGTGTGTGTGTGTGTGTGTGTGTGTGTCATGTGTAACACAGGGGGAAAAAAAATCAAAGCCCCATATTTTCCTACACATAGTTCCCTCCCTTGTTAATACCACAAATCCAAAATAACTCCCTCGCTTTATAACAGCTTTAATCACTCTCTTTATTAGTTTTTCTTTAATTAAAAATGTTCCTGCATTTATTCAAGGAAGAGGAGGATCAAACAAATATATAGAGAGAAAAATCCACAAGGCCGCTTCTGTTTTATCTCCTTTGACGTCATTTTAAACCAAGGATCGTCACAGTTTCACAAATGGTTTTAGTGCATGTGTTCATTGTGAGAGCAAGAAGCTTTGAAACCATATTGAAACAAAATTCTAACAAAAATCCAAGTTTGTAAAATAAAATCATTCTATTCATAAAGATTAATGAAAAAAACAACCATGAAAATATGTTTAATAACATTTAAAAACAATGAAATCTTCCCCCCTTTACAAAAAAAATTGAAATAGAATAAAATAATACAAATAAAATCAACAAAATAAGAAAAATAAGCCCTGCTTATAAGGATCTGATTGAATCTCCCATTACTTTGCCTCCACCTCCTCCCCCAACGGATGCAAAGGAGCAACGGGATTGGATGAGCACCTGCTCAGGGGTGAATAGTCACGCCCCTAAAGTTGGAAAAGGAGGGATGGGATTGGTTTAGGAGTGGTGGAGGTGGGAGGAGCTTCACTTCTTCTGAGGAGTACTGAGCTTCTGCATGCCACGGATCTTGTCCAGCAATTCAGCTACAAACACCTAAAAAAGAATTTAACAAATTCAGCAGAGTTGGGTAGTTGATTATGATTTTGCAGATATCTTTCAAATTTGAACAGTCAAAAGCCCTAGAACTGTACACATTTGTTTATCCCCATTATAAATAGAATTCATGTAGTTCGAATAAGTAAAATATTTATCGAAATTAATTCTGTTTGCAGCTGCTGATGTGTATAGTGCTCTCAGCTCTGTACATATTACCATATTCATACCCATTTCTCATAATTCCACCATCTGTTCACAGAATTAAGATATAAAAAAGAGTGGAGAAAAATCTGTTATTTCAGTTTCATTCACATACTGTTATAGCTTTTCATTCATATAAAGTCATTTATATACTTTAAACAAATGTCTATGTTACACTAAAGAAAATTAAATATGTTGCCATGGCAAGCTTATTTTATTTCAGTTCATTTTATTTTACTTAAAGGTACAATAGTTTTAGCTTTCATTTCAGTTCTACACTCTTAAGGGGGTCGCACACCGGGCGCGCAGCGCCGCGTCGCGCCACGTCTACAACAATTTACAGGTATCACACAGCGGATGCGCACATTCTATTCGCACGAGCTCAGTTTTGAATCAACTCCTGGTAGAAGTCAAGAGCTGCAAGATGGGTGAGTTTAAACTGGATGTATTATACATATTTTTATGTTAAGTGAATAAAATAGCTGATGTTTGAACGTTATTAACCAAGTAAAAGTATCTATCACCTTGTTATAGTCTGTACTCGGTTACTAGGAAAATTAGGAATGTTAAATAGGCTTAAATGTATATTGCAGCACAGGGTGAAGTCAGTATGTACATTAATGACGATTTGAGACAAATAAATGCAAATTTAATATAAAACTAAGCAAATGGCGATCTGTGGCGCGGCAGGGTTTTGAACACGGTCCTGAGCCGTAGCTGGGCGGCGCGGACAGACGCCGAATGGCGCCACCGGTGTGTGTACACACATAGAGAATAATGTGTTCGAATTTTGAAGATATGGCGCTGCGCGACGCGGCGCTGCGCGCCCGGTGTGCGACCCCCTTTAGAAGAAAAGGTTCTATATAGAACCTTAAAAGGATTTGGAACCCCTAAAAGGTTCTATACAGAACCCTTTTTAATGGTTCAATAATTAAGAACCCTTTAAGGTTCTTTGTAACCAGGAAAAATGTTCTTTATGGACCTTTTGGGTTCATTCATCATTATTTGTTTTGTCCTTTCCGGATTAAATATTTCATATTATTGACAAACATCAAGTACCTAAAATGTATTCATGAATGTATGTGAATGATCACAAAATTCAAGATATGGGGGTTAAAAAAGGAATAAAATTATATCACTTTATGTAGTTAATCAATATCACACGAAGAGTGCCATTTCAGTTTTTCTTCTTCAGCAATCAGAATGATTAAAATGTGATATTAAGTCACTACAACAGTTTAATAAACAATAACAACTACAAACCCAATTCCATAAAAGTTGGGACACTGTACAAATTGTGAATAAAAACAGAATGCAATGATGTGGAAGTTTCAAATTTCAATATTATATTTAGAATACAACACAGATGACATATCAAATGTTTAAACTGAGAAAATGCATAATTTTAAGGGGAAAATAAGTTGATTTTAAATTTCATGGCATCAACACATCTCAAAAAAGTTGGGACAAGGCCATTTTTACCACTGTGTGGCATCCCCTCTTCTTTTAATAACAGTCTGCAAACGTCTGGGGACTGAGGAGACAAGTTGCTCAAGTTTAGGAATAGGAATGTTGTCCTATTCTTGTCTAATAAAGGCTTCTAGCTGCTCAACTGTCTTAGGTCTTCTTTGTTGCATCTTCCTCTTTATGATGCACCAAATGTTTTCTATAGGTGAAAGATCTGGACTGCAGGCTGGCCATTTCAGTACCCGGATCCTTCTTCTACGCAGCCATGATGTTGTAATTGATGCAGTATGTGGTTTGGCATTGTCTTGTTGGAAAATACAAGGTCTTCCCTGAAAGAGACGATGTCTGGATGGGAGCATATGTTGTTCTAGAACTTGGATATACCTTTCAGCATTGATTGTGCCTTTCCAGATGTGTAAGCTGCCCATGTCACACGCACTCATGCAACCCCATACCATCAGAGATGCAGGCTTCTGAACTGAGCGCTGATAACAACTTGGGTTGTCCTTGTCCTCTTTAGTCCGGATGACATGGCGTCCCAGTTTTCCAAAAAGAACTTCAAATTTTGATTCGTCTGACCTCAGAACAGTTTTCCACTTTGCTAGAGTCCACTTTAAATGAGCCTTGGCCCAGAGAAAACGCCTGCGCTTCTGGTTCCCGTTTAGATATGGCTTCTTTTTTGACCTATAGAGCTTTAGCCGGCAACGGTGAATGGCACGGTGGATTGTGTTCACTGACAATGTTTTCTGGAAGTATTCTTGAGCCCATGTTGCGATTTCCATTACAGTAGCATTCCTGTGTGTGATGCAGTGCCGTCTAAGGGCCCGAAGATCACGGGCATTCAGTATGGTTTTCCGGCCTTGACCCTTATGCACAGAGATTGTTCCAGATTCTCTGAATCTTTGGATGATATTATGCACTGTTGATGATAATAACTTCAAACTCTTTGCAATTTTTCTCTGAGAAACTCCTTTCTGATATTGCTCCACTATTTTTTGCCTCAGCATTGGGGGAATTGGTGATCCTCTGCCCATCTTGACTTCTGAGAGACTCGAGGCGTTTCTCAATGTCAAGGAAGGATCCTCGGAAGCCGGAATTTCGAGGATGCTACGTCATCGACGTCCGTCGAAGGACTGTTCCAATGTCGAGGATCCTCAGAATTTCAACCAAGGACTGAGTCCTTCGTTCGGAAAATATCCCATACACAGGAAAGGATGCATATGTGTAGCCTTCGCGCTCTTAAATCACCCACAATCCTATGCGCAGCTTTGCTATCTTGTTCAAAAAATAAAAAAATGTCGACCGTTAGCGGAGTCGGAGTGATAACGGCAATATGCTTTCAAATGTAAGCAAGTATAATTTCAGTTTAGCCATTTATTTAATGTTTGTTAAACTATTTAACATATCGGCTCAAATTTGCTGAGGGGATTTAAAGCTGTTCCCTTTTACTGGTGATTAACTTTTTAATTTTTACTTCATAGCCTTTTTTGTTGGTCACATATTTTACAATTGCATGTGTTTTAACAGCTAACGTTAGATCATGTTGCTATATGGACGTAGTTCTGTTAACTCCGGTAATATAATCGTTTTTGAATGAATAAACTCCTTTTTAAATCAATATTTTGTGTCAAATTATTGATTTATTTGGTAGGTAGCCATGTTATAAGTGGGAAAATGTATAGCGAGGCGGTTGTTACAGCGAATACAACCGGCTGATCAAGACCCCTTAGAGTTTGCGGGGTTGTATTCACTATAACAACCGCCTGGTTATACATTATCCCTTTATTTATTTATTTCTATGAGGACTGACAAGACAAAATAAGGACTGTCAAGTGTATTTAAACAGTGCAGTACACCAGCACAATGATTTTTGCAGCGCCGAAGCGGACCTTTCACTGATGTAATGACGCAATGACGTGCACTTGCTAGCCTGTTCCATTTACGTGTTCTCCGAACGCTAAAGAGGACCCTTGCCTAGCCTCTGAAGGAAATGACTTGGAAGGACCCGTCCTGCCAAGGAAGTATCCTTGACATTGAGAAACACGAACTGCCACTCTGAGAGGCTCTTTTTATACCCAATCATGTTGCCAATTGACCTAATAAGTTGCAAATTGGTCCTCCAGCTGTTCCTTATATGTACATTTAACTTTTCTGGCTTCTTATTGCTACCTGTCCCAACTTTTTTGGAATTTGTAGCTCTCATGAAATCCAAAAGGAGCCAATATTTGGCATGGCAATTCAAAATGTCTCACTTTCAACATTTGATATGTCATCTATGTTGTATTCTAAATATAATATTGAAATTTGAAACTTCCACATCATTGCATTCTGTTTTTATTCACAATTTGTACAGTGTCCCAACTTTTATGGAATTGGGTTTGTACAAAACTACAAAATGTTGCAGAATAATGTAATATATGAATGAATAATAGCCTATAAAGAACCTCTGTGCCAAAAGGGTTCTTTCTTGTCATTATGGAACCTTTTTTAGAATAAAAGGTTTTTTGGAGTTAAGTAAAGAACCATATGCTTCATATATAGAACCCCAATGAATCCTTTTTTCTAATAACCCTGCATGCTCTTAGGTACGACACAATTTACTCACCTCAGTAGGTTTATAACAGTCTACCAGCAGGTCCTGTTGGGCAATAAGAGAAAGAAATGTTATACAAATGTAAAGCCAGTTAAAAATCAAAGATGAAATCGGACATTTTTGAGATTACCTTGACTCGTGCAGCACGGTCTACGTCGTTCTCCATGTCCAACAGCTCATCCACGTCAATCTCCAGCTCTGGGATCGCCTCTTCCTGTGATAGATAAGCATATGCATCATGAAGCAGAAGGAGATGATCTGTTTGGATCAAGGATATGTCTATATTCAAATACCCCCAAGAAATACCAGCTAATTGGAAATGACACAACTATACATTCCCTATAGCTCCAGGATATTATGCAGTATTCCCAGAGGGCTAAGAAACACAGTGGGGAAAGAGTAGCAAGGCAGAGACAATGAAAACAGCAACACTGGTTACACAGATGACTCTGTAATGTTTGTGTATGAAAGCAAGTCCCAAACTGGAGATCTGTCTTATACACAAGTACTTATCAGTTTATCGTTACATCTGCAATAGGGCCTATCAAGGTCAGTGTAATATTGCCTCTTCACCACTAGAGGTATCTCTTGTGTCACACAAACAGTTAAAGGGATAGTTCACCCAAAAATAAAAAAAATCTGACATTTCCATAATACTCACCCTCAAGTTGTCCCAAACCTGTATGAATTTCTTTCTTGTCTTCTGAAGACAGTTTGAAGGATGTAGGCAACCGAA